TCTCTCTCTCTCTCTCTCTCTCTCTCTCTCTCTCTCTCTCTCTCTGTGTCTGTCTCTTTCTTTGTCTCTGTCTGTCTCTCTCTGTGTATCTGTCTCTTTCTCTCTGTGTGTGTTTGTCTCTTTCTCTCTATCCCTTCCACTGCCTCTCCCCCTCTCCCCTTCCCTTTCTCCCCTTCCCTCTCACTCTCACTGTCTCTCCCTAGATGATAGATAGACAGATAGCTCATAGACAGACAGATAGATGAGGGAGACCAGGAGGGAGGGAGAGATCAATAGAGTTCCAATCTCCTTCGCCCTCTGACTCCCTCATCTATCTGTCTGCCTGTCATCTATCTGTCTATCCATCATCTATCATTCTCTCCCATTTTCTCTCTCTCTCACTCCCACTATCTCTGTAACTTTTCCTCCCTCCTTCCCTCATCTATCTGTCTCTCTCTATCACCTATCAATCTCTCTCCCCTTCTCTCTCTCTCTCACTCTCACTCTCTCTTCGTGTAACTCATTGATCTCTCCCTCCCTCCTTCCCTCATCTATCTGTTTATCTATCAATCTCCCTTCCCTTCTCTCTCTCTCTCTCTCTCTCTAACCCTATAGATCTCTATTGATCTCTTCTCTCTCTCTCCCTCTATTACTATCTTATTCTATCTATCTATCTATCTATCTATCTATCTATCTATCTATCTACCTATTATCTATCTATCTATCTATCTATCTATCTATCTATCTATCTATCTATCTATCTATCTACCTAATATACATGCTGCCCATCTCAGCTGACAAACACCACAAAAACAAAGCTAGAAACATTAAACTCGAAATGAAAAGAAATCAAATAAGTTTAAGGAAGCAGAATGCTCTGGGTTGGAGGCAGGACTTCTTCCTAGCCCGCTAACCACCCTCAACATGGAACCTACTTCCCACAGGACTTCAGGAAGAAGTCGATACTTTCCAAGGCAGGCAGAATTGCCATCAAGACTAATATCGCCTTGGAATCCCCGGCTCTTCCCCACATTGATCCAATCCGAAGGAATCGTCCGTAAGATGAGGCTCACCCAGACTACAATCTGCAGTGACAATCACTCCTTTCCCCAAGCAATGGAAGGATGGGAGTCACCGGAGAAATCCCGGAAGTGTTAAAGTATGTGGGGGAAAAGCAGCTCACATTTCATTGGTACCAGAGGTGGGATTCAGCCGGTTTGGACCAGTTCTACAGAACCGGTAGCAAAAAAATTTGAGTAGTTCAGAGAGTCAGCAAATACCACCTTTGACACAGGGCCCGCCCCCATCTCTTTTCCGCCTCCTGAGTTCCTGCTGATCAGCTGGATCTTCTTTGGTTGCCCTACACAGGAGAACGGAGCTGGAAAGCAGGTTAGTGGGATGGGGATTTTGCAGTATCCTTCCCCTGCCACGTCGACCAAGCCATCACCAGTGCTAGAACGGGGGGGGGGGGGGGCAGAGGTGGTATTCAGCTGGTTCTGACCAATCTGGAGAACCGGTAGCAGGAATTTTGAGTAGCTCGGAGAACCGGCAAATCCCACCTCTGACTGGCCCCGCCAACCCCATCTCTTCTCTGCCTCCCATTGAGTCCCATCTGATCAGCTGGGTCTTCTTTGGTTGCCCTGCACAGGAGAACGGAGCTGGAAAGCAGGTTAGTGGGGTGGGGGAGGGAATGGGCATTTTGCAGTATCCTTCCCCTGCCACGCCCATCAAGCCACGCCCACAGAACCGTTAGTTTTTAAAAATTGAATCCCACCACTGATTGGCACGGAGGACATACTGGTACTAAACTCAATCAAGACATACTGGTACTAAACTCAGGCAAACAAGCTAACAATAAACAACCACCCAATTAAAGAACTCCCAAGTCCACTCCCACCCACACTGACAAGGCAAGCCACTTGTATATAAAACTGAGCAATAACCCCCTTTCTCTTCTAGCACACTGATGCTGTTACCTAGTTGGGTAATGAAAGGTTTGCGAGAAAACATCCAAGCTCAAAAAGCACCATGGAACCCCCCCGCCATCCTTTCCTCCTCCTCCTCCTCCTCCTCCTCCCCCTCCCCCCCCTTCCCCCCCCCCCTTCCTCCCTCCCTTCCCTCCCTTCCTTCCTTCCCAGTAATTAGAATGCAGTATTGCAGCACTTAGATTTATATACCACTTCACAGTGCTTTTACAGCCTTCTCTAAGCAGCTTACAGAGTCAGCCATCTTGCCCCCCCCCCAACAATCTGGGTCCGCATTTGACTGACCTCAGAAAGATGGAAAGCTAAGCCAACCTTTGAGCCGGTCAGAATTGAACTGCTGGCAGTTGGCAGAGTTAGCCTGCAATACTGCATTCTAATTACTGGGAAGGAAGGAAGGGAGGGAAGGGAGGGAGGAAGGGAGGGAGGGAAGGGAAGGAAGGGAGGGAGGGAAGGGAGGGAGGGACGAAGGGAAGGGAGGGAGGGAGAGAGGGAAGGAAGGAAGGGAGGGAAGGAGGGAGGGA